CTGAAATAAAATGATTTTTAGTGTAAACTAAAAAAAGATTGTCGTTTTTAACTGTATTTATGCCCCCCGTCTACTTTAACAAGAGGCTTCAGACAAAGTGGCACATGATAGCATATACCTTCAGTGACGTAGATTACGTAATGTTAAATATGATGTTTTGGTTAAGTGTTAAAATTGGGTTCAAGCAATACTACTAGATGATGAGTATTCAACTGCAATGCTAACATTGTTACTTGATAATGTTTAAATGTCACCTTGCATCGCCATATACGGAATTATTTTTTTCTTCTATAAATGTGTTTCGCATCAACTTTTATGCACCTCTACAACTAAGCAAGTCGTAGGTTGTATGGTTCTCCCATCACCTATACTCAAACTTATCCGTGGCATCTCTCTATATATATCACATAATCTACCATTAATTAAGGAATGTTTGTATTTAAACGGATTAAAATGCCCTACGATTTTTATTTCCAAAATATTACTTGTTTTAACTAACAGCATAATGCATTTTTTTTAAAAGAGAAAATAAAAAAGTCATGACGAACAATAAATCCAGATTGAATACATAAATAACTATAAGTACACTAGTTGTAAAAAAAAAGCAAACAAAGCAGTGTGGGAAATATTTTCAAAATAGTGTTCTAAGCCAACATATATGTTTACAAATGCTTTTCCAGTGACTTAAGTCTGTCTTCCACGTAATCATTATACACACTGTACTGGAGTAAAATTTCAATGATGTTAAATGCATTAGTTTTAAAAGATGGCCAACAGATGCAGTTCTTGACCTAAATACATTTTTAAGCTGTGAAGAAAAACATTTATTGTGCCTCGGAAATTTAGTTTATTCTACATGTGAAATTTTTTTTTCACATGTTAAAAGCTCCCCCCCCCCTCAGTGGCTCGATACCCACGGTGGGAACAATGCAGACAGCCGATTGTGTAGTTTTGCGTTAAAATAATATACAAAGTTTCCAAATGCTTTCAACAGAAGTTGTAGCAAGTTATAAATAAACATACTCCGTTCCTGCAGTACAACATTGATAATATAGCATATTAAGAAATTAGTGATATCATCTTGGGTAAGAAAATGGGACCTTACAAAGTAATGTAAAACCAAATGAATACAAAGGTAGGGTTCAAACAGACTGCTTGCATATTTTGTAAACATTTTACGTATTTATAATTCTGCTGCTTTCTGAGCGCCAAAATAATAACAAAAAAGAAGACTCGTTAGTTTAAAGCAAATTAAAGAAACCGCTTGCATCCTCTGGAAATGCTGTTTAAACATAACTTAGTCCTTTCCTATTCGTGGCTTACTTTGAATGAATAAAGTAAGTAGTATTACGATTTGCAACATATGCATATATATGTACATATTACAAGGATTCCAGGTGGTAAAAGTTGGAAATGATAAGTTTAACTTGTTGCTTCTAATGAATGATACTGTTCATAATTTTCTGTAAGGGATCGCGGGTAGCTAGTTTTAAAAGAAATAAAACTGAGTTGAACAAATTCCAAGCAATATAAACGCTAATTATTTTTCCTCAATATCATTAAAGTACGTTTGTTCCATTGTGTCCATGGCAACGTATTTTCCTCGCGATTCTCACAAAACATAAAAATAGACTTTGGTGGGCTAATGTAGTACACAAATGAATGTTCACATTTGCTGTACTCAACATAACTGTTGCATATTTCCTTTTTATACTTAAAAACAATGTCATTATCAGATGAAAAAAGTTAAACTATTAACGAAATTCAAATATATATATATATATATCTGTTATCCATAGATAATCAAAATAAATCACAACTTAAAACAAACAGAATATTTCATGATAACGTAAAATTTATTAATGATTCAAAAACATTTTGTCTGCAATTTGTGTTTAGAACAGTGTAATTTCAATGTTATCAGATAAAGTACTGACAAATTAAGTAATTGGGAACTAAAATAATTCAATACCTGATATTTTACATTTTCAGAACGAAAAAAATATGGAAAATATCAAATGCAAAAAAAGAGGACCAAACAAAAAAAATCATTGGCCAAATGTTGACGTTTATCTTAGAAGTCTTATTACGTTTAACAGTTTATTTAAGCACTACAATCATTAGACCTGACCACGATTTAACTTTATGGTGTAGCGTGGACGAAATCTGTGTCGAGAACAACAACGACAAAAAAAAGATAACTTTATGGTGTAGCGTGAAAGAAATCTGTGTCGAGGACAACAACAACAACAAAAAAGAATCTTACTGTCTTTGCTGGTTAAATATAAGACACGTTTTGTGAATTCTTCCAAGAAAAGATAACCAGTGTAATTAAAAGTATGGACAAAATGGGAAATTAGAAAAAAAAAAGGAACATAAACCCCCTAAGAAGGCTTGAGTGAAAACCAAAATTTTCATCAACACTTATTATTATTGACATAATAAATCAGAATATTTGTTTTTGCTGAATCTATATTGGCACTTCGTGCAATTGTCACTACTATATTATTTTATCTTTTATTATCTGTACTTTATTTTTCTTTTTTGGAAGTAAACAAAATGAAAACATACACAAACGATCTAAAGCTCAATTACGGTGAGTCGATAACCACAGTTCATGTGCATGATCAACAAATCTGATTGTAGGTGGCGCCACAAAGCGTTGGTTTTCTTCTTAACTTCCATCATAGCAATTTAGTTCAATCCTAATAACTAGACATATTGCACTTTGAAGGAATCGAAATAGAGCCTTCAACTTCAGAATTATTTATAATTACACCAGAAATTCTACGATTTGGACTAGTTTTTGTTATAAATTAGTTAAGTACACAGTGTTGACTGGAATTAGATTTTTATGTAATAGGTATGGATATACATTCACAAATTCGTAAACAAACACCGAAGGTACACGCATTGATAGATATAAAAAAGTGGTAGAGAAGTGGTAGAAGTGGTATTACAGCATTTTAACATGTTAAGTCAACATGAGTATTCAAATAATTTATCACATCACACGGACCAGACGGAACATGTGATTTATCCACACACAAAAAGACTCTAATTAATTGGCGGTGTGAATTTTACCATATTATCAGTAATGATCTCATATTTACAGCAGTTTTAAGTTTAATGTTATAATATCATACGGATGGGGTAAGTTATCTAGAACCAGGTCTAAAACAAAGGAATATTCCAATCCACCTTTTTTCTGCTTTCATCTAAACAATGAATTAAAAGTAACTTAACGTTTACATCGACTTTAATCGCACCGAATTCTTTCAATGCCAATATTTACAAATTATTTCCACACTTTTTCAATCTCGTTTATATATATATATATATATTTGTACTGAATGATATTAATATCCAACAACGCCCTTCGTGCGTATCTCTTTCTGTTCACTTAACTGCTACTAATTCGAATGCCTACTTCACAGAAATTGAACACTAGTGTATGCGTTTCACTATCCTGGAGATTATAGTGTTATTTCTATGTGTGAACAGTACCCTGGAGGTTACGGTGTTATTGATATATATGACTACGGCCCTAAAAGTTACGGTATACGGTCACTACTTTAGAAGTTACGGTGCTATTGATGTACCTTACGCTAGCCCAATAACCAGATTTTACCAATAATGTGGGCTTCTAGGGTAGTGAAGGTATAAGATCACTAACCTAATATTAACACACGACTCCGATAAAAGAGGCGCTAGATTTAAAACTGTGTTAATGCAACACTCATGAGTGTTGTGCCTGACCTAAAACCTGACTATGATGATGCTACAAACCAAGTATGATGGGTTTGTTTTCGGGTATACGGACACTTGGATAACTGTAGAAGTAACAGGGAATAATGGAAGAGCTTGATCGGTACACTGGGGCCTTTGAACCCCACAGCGGAACGGGGTTATTTTTATGATAGTTTTCTGAAGAAATATATTATATCTGGGAGGGAAGTTGTATCTCTCTCCAGTAAAAGTAATTGTATACTGTTACCAATTGTGTTTAACTAACTATAAGGATGCCTTTATTAAAGAGCATGTTTAAGGATCATTAAATACACTGGAGAGTGAAGATTACAAACAATAACAATAAAAAAAAACCTTTCCAAGTTAAATGTTATGGACTAATCGTATGTTCTATGGTACAACAACAACATTATATTATATGAGGCTAACTTGATATAAAAAACTGAATCGAGATTTGTTAATTTATAAAGTTCATATCAATATCCTGTATTGCAAACATTAGTCTAGATAAGAAAAAATAAATGTAGAATTTTTATGTTCTTGATATTCATTTGCAAAGTTTTAATGTTGAATACTTTTTTTTAGTATCTATAAGAATGTTAAAATTCTTGAGGATTAACGGAATCTTAATTTTATTTTTTACATGAAATTGAAAACATAATTCTATCGACCTTTGGGAAAACAGGTTTAATTAAGAGTAATATTTTATTGTTCACTTCAGATCTCTCCGGATCTGAGATTCAATACCTATTTTTTAAATCTACAGGCGGAAACACTATAATTAATTCCAAGGCAATTTAGTAGCAATATAAATTGATATTCGACTGACATAGGCAACTTACACTACCTCTCTCTAGCCCCATCCCAAATAACAGCTTCAATAAAGTAGTTAGTGAGAGTGTAAAAAACTATAACTCGTTCATCCGGAGGAAGGTCAGGAAATGGAAACTTCAAAAATGCATTCCTGCCAGTCAGAGGGGATTTGGTTCCTGATTTTCTGTAAATTTGGTACTGGTTTTCTCTCATCTTTAGATTACTTCGGTTTTGATAAATACTTTAATTTTGATGTTTATTGATTTATGAATACCAATTAAAAAGAAAGATGTTTGAACTTTATTTTGATATTTTTACTATTATATATATGTGTGTGTATAATATTATATTTTCTACATGTCAAAACTTTGCAAACCTCGTGTTGTGATGTTGAAACATGAAAATGTTTTGGGGCTTAAAACATGTAATAAAATATCTCTCAGTGCAACATGACGTTTAATCCCAGACTTACCCCTATAATGCTGACATCCAGAAACTGAAAGAATTTCCCTAATATGACAGACTTCTTGCTTCTACACAAACTGTTTACATAAAGCACCAATTTCTATTGTGCAGAATATAGTGTGTAGGATAGGCAATAAAGAGTTATATAAATTACTTTTTCATCGATAGTGGGGTAAGAGTAAGTTCAACGAAATTAAACGTTAAAAATACGTCCCCAATTTGTTTCAAACTGTTCATTTATAATTACACTCTAAAGGTGAACAACTACTTAAAATTTTTTGAAATAATTCTGTCAAACAGTGTTTATACTGGGTTGTTTCAGTCAAGGAAGTTGATGTTCAAAACGAGAAAAGTCACTGTGTAAATCATACGGTTTCTTGAGTTCATATCTTGTTCCACAATTATTTCAAGAACTGCTTGACTATTCACCTGAGAACATTTGAAAGAACATGTTCCTGTGTTTATTTTACATAACAATGCCGATAATTAGTTGTCATTGTTAGACAACAAGTAACCGTTTATATCGCATAGAACTTTTTATAAGTAATTTGTTGGAAACATTAGTTCTAAGGAAGACTAAACAATCTCATGCAAAACGATACATCTAATCAATATATACTCTCTTCGAACACGATATCTTTGGCACGCTTTTTTTATCTCAGTCTACAAACTATATTTACTGATATGCAGTTCTCTGCACATGCTAGAACTGTTATCTCAGACTACAAACTGGTTTACTGATTCACTGCTATGTAGATCTCCACACATGTTACAACAACATAGCATTTATTTGTTTTAAAATTAGTTTTACTCATATTGATGTTTTCAATCTTTAGCAGAAAGAAACTTGTTATTTGAACTCAATGCAGGGGAAACTATGCGACATCTGTTATTGCTGTATTATTTCTTCAGGAGCTCTAAAAAGACGGACAGGACTATACACTTGGCTCAAACAAAACAACTTTATAAGCCAATCACACAATTCACGCCACTGTTTACGCAAAATTATTTCTCTGTCTCTCTCTCTATTACTGTTTTGGATTACAAAGTCTTTTATAACATAGTTTTTAAGAGTTGTTTGTTTTAGTGTTCGAAGTTTTAGAATTATTAGGCTGCCACTCCTCTGAGAATTATTTATTCTCATTATTGGGATATCATTGTTTTCTGGTGGTGACCCATACCTGTTCATACGGGAGAGTTTTCCCTCGTGCCTTTGTCACAAATACTTTAAAAACATAACTCTTTCCTGGCTCTAATCCTTTCACTTTCTGCATGATTAAACCATGAAACCTGTTTGTACTGTAACGATTGTATCTACGACACATCACTTCTTTGTGATTCTGTTCACGGTCAGGTTTTGGTTCGCACGAAAATACAGGCATAAGGCTACTAGTATCATTGCTTTGGTAAATACAGTAACGCACCTTTTCGTCAGAGGACGCTCGCCACGCTAGCGTCACAGAATCGTGTGTGGTAAGGGTATCGAAAATTTTAACTCTTTTATCCCGAGGAAGATCCGGAAATGGAAACTTCCAGTACCTTCTACTGACTAGAAGCTGAACGGCTCGGATTTCGTGTATCAGAGAAGAAACAGTAATCATGTAAGTTCCACTGGATGCATTCCTTATGGTTAGGGTTTCAATGTTCATGACACGAGTGTTCAAGAGTATATTTCTATTCATGGATATTTTCAGTTTTACCGGACCTGGTCCGGTGCATGGTCGGATGAAGAAATACAATACAGATGTACTGCGTCTCAGGATATAAGTGGAGACGGACGAGAAGTCACTCGAACCTTCCAACTTAACGGTCGTTAATGAATGGTCTCTTATTCTCCCACTCTTGGGAATTTTAGTAGCCGTCCTGGCTCCCAAGTAGGCGATACTAGCGTTATTTGCTGGATTTACAGCAAAAACGTCGAAGTAGTAAGTCGTTCCTTCCCGAAGACCTCTAAACATATGCCAGGTCTTTCTCCCGATACATTCATAGGTTATGTCGTTCTGTACAACCACAGACTTCTGAATTTCTCTCACTCTCATCAACAACTTCTTTCGAGCGAGTTTCTCCCACCAGAAGCCAAACCCCGCCCACGGTGGAGGTGTTGGTGGAATGTCTCCATTGATATCACTGTCAACTTCACATTGAGTTTTATAGTTCTTCCTTGGGTTAGCTGCCACGCAGTATTCTACAACTTGTTTATGCTGCGATTCAGTGGGACTGGCCATCCAGGTGATCAGAACACGGTTTCTCCGAACTTTCAAAATTCCCACTCTTGGGTTAGAAGGCAACAATGGATGGGGAAAGTGGTCTTTAGAACTAGAAGAAAAGAATATTTTCACGCTGGTATCATTTCCATGGGAATCCATTTCTATCATGTAGAGCCCAGCATAGCTGTTGAGGTTTGTGTAAGTCCTTTGCTCTTGGCCGAAATACGTAGCTTGAAGAACAGAGAAAGTGGGCGCAACGTCACCGTTTCCTATATCATTCTGAAGGGTATCTAAAGCAAATATAAGAGAATGGGTGTTATTTTTACACGTATAAAACAATTTATAAAAGTTTCCAAATGTATTTTGGAAAGTATCAAGAAAGAAGAGAAAATAGTAAATAACATGTCATTCTATGATATTTAAGACCATTACGTTTTGTTCCCTTTATCGTAGTTGGTGATATCTAGAAGAAAGACAGGAAAGCTAATTTTATATTCACGAGTATGCAACACACATTTCATATGATACATTTGAGGATGTGTATACAGAAATATTTAAACAGACGTCTAATCATCACTAAGTTTTAGAGAGACCGATGTAATAGTTTCTTAGGAAGCCTATAAGTATTTTTATTATTTACAGAAGCTCCACATAAACTTTCATAAACTAACGAAAAAATAACACCAGGAAACTGGTATGACAGATTAGATAAATAGCAGTTAATGAAAGTGGCCACACTCGTACATTATATATATAGTCTAGCCTAAGGCTCAGTAATACATACATTTATTGAAAAGAAGCCTGTCACAATTTGTAAGACATATCTAAGAGAATTAAATGTATTATTATTTTGTGGAATTTTGCGCAAAGCTACGCTATCTGCAATAGCTATCCCTAATTTAGAATTGATAGACTAGAGGGAAGGTAACTAGTCAACACCATCCACTACCGGCTCTTGGGATGTTTTTTACCAACGAATAGTGAGATTGACCGTAACATTATAATGCCCCCATGGCTGTAAGGGCGAGCAAGTTCGGTGAATTCTAAGAGTAACATTACTGAAGAGCGTAAAAGTTTGTGAATGTATATCATTTCTTTTAGCCGGATTTGAATTATGAAAGTGAAGTGTGTAATTTCTCCTTTAGATTTTATTAAATTTGACTGTAAAACATTAAACAAATCTGTTTCGGTGAAAAAAAACTAGTCTGCACAATATCTTACTATTGTTACATAATTTCTTTATAGAATTCTTTAAATTGAACTAATTAGAAAAGATCTTAAATTAAAAACAAAAGGTGAATGAATGTAAAGGATAGTCTGATATATATATATATATACATGTATATATATATATATATGTATATATTTGCAATAGTTCTAATTTTGAAGTTTCTGAATACTGCCACATAAGTTTGGTACATATAGTTTTGAATTAAGCATGTGTATGACTTCATCTAACAGGTAATATATTGTTAACTTAAATTATTGATGAAAATTCATAATAAATAAATAAATAAAGCAGGTTAAATATGTTGGTTAGGAGGTTAATTTATAGCTGTTAATTTATTAAATTACTTATGCTAGTGTTAGTAGGAGTTAAGGCAATGATTTTACGCTATCTTAGTTCATTAAACATTAAGCATTGAATGATTTATGTGTTGTTGAAGTCTCACATCTCTCACATTCATACAAAATTTCACGTTTCCCTCACTCTTTCAAAACGGACTCGGTCCGCCGGATCGACCTCGTAACCATTGTGTGCTTGTTATAGTTTTCATGCTATAACTTTCAAAATTAGTAAGCGCATGTACGAAAATAGCCACCTGCGCGCGCATGCACGAAAATGGGCACCTGCGCGCGCATGTACCAAATTGCGCACCTGCGCGCGCATGTACGAAAACGGGCACCTGCGCGCGCATGTACGAAAAC